AGATGTTGTATACACAGACTTTGCAAAGGCATTCGACAAATGTGACCATGGAGTGATAGCACACAAAATGAGGTCAATGGGAATAACTGGTAAAGTAGGACGCTGGATACTCAATTTCCTGTCGAACAGAACACAAAGAGTAACAGTCAATCAAATAAAATCGAGTCCAAGCGCAGTTAAAAGCTCTGTACCTCAAGGTACAGTCCTTGCACCACTGCTGTTCCTTATTCTCATATCAGATATAGACAAAAATACAAGTCACAGCTTCGTGTCATCCTTTGCAGATGACACAAAAATCAGCATGAAAATTACCTCTGCTGAAGACATTGAAAAACTACAAGCAGATATCAACAAAGTTTTCGATTGGGCAGCAGAAAATAACATGATGTTTAACAGTGATAAATTCCAGGTACTCAGGTACGGCAAAAATGAGGATCTGAAACATAATACAGGGTACAAAACACAATCGAATCTGCCCATAGTAGGAAAACAGCATGTCAAGGATTTGGGAATAATGATGTCCGACGACCTAACGTTTAGGGAGCATAACCAAGCAAATATTGCGTCAGCCAGAAAAATGATAGGATGGATTACGAGAACTTTCAAATCCAGGGATCCCATCACAATGGTTGTACTCTTCAAGTCACTTGTGTTGTCCCGTCTTGAGTACTGCTCAGTACTCACTTCCCCCTTCAGAGCAGGAGAGATTGCTGAAATAGAGGGAATACAGAGAACATATACGGCACGCATAGACGCGATAAAGCACCTAAATTATTGGGATCGTCTCAAAGCTCTCCAAATGTACTCACTAGAAAGGAGACGAGAGAGATACCAAATAATATACACATGGAAAATACTGGAGGGCCAGGTCCCAAATCTACACAGTAAAATAACAACGTACTGGAGTGAACGATATGGAAGAAAATGCAGAATAGAACCAGTGAAGAGCAGAGGTGCCATAGGCACAATCAGAGAACACTGTATAAACATCAGAGGTCCGCGGTTGTTCAACGTCCTCCCAGCGAGCATAAGAAATATTGCCGGAACAACCGTGGACATCTTCAAGAGAAAACTAGACTGTTTTCTAAAAGAAGTGCCGGACCAACTGGGCTGTGGTGGGTATGTGGGCCTGCGGGCCGCTCCAAGCAACAGCCTGGTGGACCAAACTCTCACAAGTCAAGCCTGGCCTCGGGCCGGGCTTGGGGAGTAGAACAACTCCCAGAACCCCATCAAGCAGGTATGTTGTGCACGTGTTCATGTGCACGCATCCATGTTGTGCACGTGTTCATGTACACGTTCCCATGTTGTACATGTACCCATGTTGTGCACGTACCCATGTTGTGCACGTGTTCATGTTGTACACGTACCCCTGTTGTGCACGTACCCATGTTGTTCACGTACCCATGTTGTGCACGTGTTCATGTGCACGTACCCATGTTGTGCACGTGTTCATGTGCACGTACCCATGTTGTGCACGTACCCATGTTGTGCACGTGTCCATGTTATGCACGTGTCCATGTACCCATGTTGTGCATGTGTCCATGTTGTGCATGTGCCTATATTGTGCACATGCCCATGTTGTACACGTGCCCATGTTGTGCACGTACGCATGTTGTGCAAGTACCCATGTTGTGCACGTGCCCATGTTGTACACGTACCCATGTTGTGCACGTGCCCATGTTATGCACGTGCCCATGTTGTACACGTGCCCATGTTGTACACGTACCCATGTTGTACACGTGCCCATGTTGTACACGTACCCATGTTGTGCACGTGCCCATGTTGTGCACGTACGCATGTTGTGCAAGTACCCATGTTGTGCACGTGCCCATGTTGTACACGTGCCCATGTTGTACACGTACCCATGTTGTACACGTGCCCATGTTGTACACGTACCCATGTTGTACACGTACCCATGTTGTACACGTGCCCATGTTGTACACGTGCCCATGTTGTACACGTACCCATGTTGTACACGTACCCATGTTGTGCATGTGCCTATGTTGTGCACGTGCCCATGTTGTACACGTACCCATGTTGTGCACGTGCCCATGTTGTACACGTGCCCATATTGTACACGTACCCATGTTGTACACGTACCCATGTTGTACACGTGCCCATGTTGTACACGTGCCCATGTTGTACACGTACCCATGTTGTACACGTACCCATGTTGTGCACGTGCCCATGTTGTACACGTGCCCATGTTGTACACGTACCCATGTTGTACACGTGCCCATGTTGTACACGTGCCCATGTTGTACACGTACCCATGTTGTACACGTACCCATGTTGTGCACGTGCCCATGTTATGCACGTGCCCATGTTGTACACGTGCCCATGTACACGTACCCATGCTGTACATGTACCCATGTTGTACACGTGCCCATGTTGTACACGTGCCCATGCTGTACACGTACCCATGTTGTGCACGTGCCCATGTTGTACACGTACCCATGTTGTGCACGTACCCATGTTGTGCACGTTTTCCCACCCCGGATAAGTCACGTGTCGACCAAATACAGTCAACTTCCAAGCAAAATAATTGCCTGTGTTCTCATACTATATTCTGGACTGTGTCACTTTTAAATCGGCGCAGAGCAGCTCTGAACTCGTCTCCAAATTAGGCACTAACGAAACCACACCTGCTGCTATATGTGACTTGTGACATACACCTACCTCCCAGGAACCACACCTGCTGCTATATGTGACTTCTGACACCCGGGAACCACACCTGCTGCCACACGTGACACCCGGGAACTACACCTGCTGCCACATATATAATCAACGGTCCCATATATAGGTAGTAGTGGCCTCTGGTCACACAACGCCCACACAAAGTACAAGTTGCTTAAATTAAATCTTTTTTTTTATTCAGGAAAAGTACATACATAGTTGATATTCAAACATAATGTTGCTTGTGGAGTTGAACACCACCACCCTAACTGTCCACAACGGTGGTGCTAGTTATGCCAGCCACGCAATAATTATTACTTGACAATTACGAGTCAGATAATGGGGAAATACGCTGTTGCATAGTTCATAAAGAAGAGAGTATTTTGCGCAGCTTTGTAAGCGCCAAACCGCGCAGCAACTCTTCAACATTCACTAGTCGTGAGTTTCTCCCTTGATCATGTCTTGTTAGTGACCGAATATTATGTTGGGGCTGTGGTGATGACTTGTTAGTGACCGAATATTATGTTGGGGCTGTGATGATGACTTGTTAGTGACCGAATATTATGTTGGGGCTGTGATGATGACTTGTTAGTGACCGAATATTATGTTGGGGCTGTGGTGATGACTTGTTAGTGACCGAATATTATGTTGGGGCTGTGGTGATGTCTTGTTTGTGACCGAATATTATGTTGGGGCTGTGATGATGACTTGTTAGTGACCGAATATTATGTTGGGGCTGTGGTGATGTCTTGTTTGTGACCGAATATTATGTTGGGGCTGTGGTGATGACTTGTTAGTGACCGAATATTATGTTGGGGCTGTGGTGATGTCTTGTTAGTGACCGAATATTTTGTTGGGGCTGTGATGATGACTTGTTAGTGACCGAATATTATGTTGGGGCTGTGATGATGACTTGTTAGTGACCGAATATTATGTTGGGGCTGTGGTGATGTCTTGTTAGTGACCGAATATTATGTTGGGGCTGTGATGATGACTTGTTAGTGACCGAATATTATGTTGGGGCTGTGATGATGACTTGTTAGTGACCGAATATTATGTTGGGGCTGTGGTGATGTCTTGTTAGTGACCGAATATTATGTTGGGGCTGTGATGATGACTTGTTAGTGACCGAATATTATGTTGGGGCTGTGATGATGACTTGTTAGTGACCGAATATTATGTTGGGGCTGTGGTGATGACTTGTTAGTGACCGAATATTATGTTGGGGCTGTGGTGGTGTCTTGTTAGTGACCGAATATTATGTTGGGGCTGTGATGATGACTTGTTAATGACCGAATATTATGTTGGGGCTGTGGTGATGTCTTGTTAGTGACCGAATATTATGTTGGGGCTATGGTGATGTCATGTTAGTGACCGAATATTATGTTGGGGCTGTGGTGATGACTTGTTAGTGACCGAATATTATGTTGGGGCTGTGGTGATGACTTGTTAGTGACCGAATATTATGTTGGGGCTATGGTGATGTCATGTTAGTGACCGAATATTATGTTGGGGCTGTGATGATGACTTGTTAGTGACCGAATATTATGTTGGGGCTGTGATGATGACTTGTTAGTGACCGAATATTATGTTGGGGCTGTGATGATGACTTGTTAGTGACCGAATATTATGTTGGGGCTGTGATGATGACTTGTTAGTGACCGAATATTATGTTGGGGCTGTGATGATGACTTGTTAGTGACCGAATATTATGTTGGGGCTGTGATGTTTCTCCCTCTCCTCTCGCTCTCTCAGAAAGTATCCGAAAAGATGAAAGATTGCTCAAACTCTACAGAAAACATTTCCCCAATTTCCGACGTCAACAATATTGCAGGGATAGTTGTAAAGGGCGAATATCAAGGTTATGGCCTTAAAGGCAACGTATTATGATTAGAATTTTGGTATTAATTTGGGTTTGATTACACATGCAGCACTTACAATTTCCGATAATATCCCCAACTCGTATTAATTTTAATACTTCAGATCGAATCATAGCATTACGAGATTTCTTGTTGGGTCTGTCCATGTTATGCACATACCCAACAGCATTTGCTATGAAAACTTGGGTGAAGCTGGCCCCCCAAACGTCTGCTCTCCAATCTTGTACACACACATACATTTATAGGTATATAATTGTTATCATAATATTATATATAATTTTTCTTTTACTTCAAAACTTGTGTTTCTTAATATTTTATTAAGTATGTTATTTGATTTTGTACCAATGATCTCTGGTTGTTGAGGTGCTTAAGAGACTCCGGTGTGTATAGAGCAAAGTCCCCCAGCACGTGTATAATGCTTCTCTCTCGGTGTGGTGCCCACAGCGAGGTGACGGTCCTCAGTCTTCACCACCCACACCTCACACGCCCTCGGGCTCCGACTCGCCCACCGGGTACCAGACCTCCGCCCCGTCCTCGCCCACCGGGTACCAGACCTCCGCCCCGTCCTCGCCCACTGGGCACCAGACGTCGCGTAAACTCCGGCGAAAGTGCCGAGCGTCAGGGGAGCGGGGAGGAATGGTGGAGGGAGAGAAGGGAGAGAGAGGGAGGAGCAGGGTGGCGTGGCTGCCGCGGCAACAGCAGGAGAGAAGTGGCCAGCCGGCAGCAGTGCCGCCGTGGGCGGAGCCTGATGCACAGCCGCCCCCGCCGCCCTCGCAGATCTACACCAACCTGTCCCCGTCGACCCCCCGCAGGAGCGTGATGCAGGCCGCCTCGCCCGTCGCCACCACCCAGCCTCACCCGTCACCCACACACTTCAACCGCCCGACGCCCGGAGCCAGCCCCATCATGCTCCGCAGATCTCTCTTTCGCGACGTGGACGGACCAGCCCGGGCCAGGTCCGTGGACTCCATTACCCGCTCGGCTCCCTGGGGGGAGACGAAGCTCCGGCCAACCCCACGGACCGAGTCCCCAGCCAGGGGCCCCCCGGGGGCTCATCTGCCACCCTGGGCCACTGTCACGGCTTCTTCACCCGCCATGGGTGACCAGCCACAGGTGCCCCCGGGGAGGGGTGACCAGCCACAGGTGCCCCCGGGGAGGGGTGACCAGCCACAGGTGCCCCCGGGGAGGGGTGACCAGCCACAGGTGCCCCCAGGGAGGGGTGACCAGCCACAGGTGCCCCCGGGGAGGGGTGACCAGCCACAGGTGCCCCCAGGGAGGGGTGACCAGCCACAGGTGCCCCCGGGGAGGGGTGACCAGCCACAGGTGCCCCCGGGGAGGGGTGACCAGCCACAGGTGACCCCAGGGAGGGGTGACCAGCCACAGGTGCCCCCGGGGAGGGGTGACCAGCCACAGGTGCCCCCTGGGAGGGGTGACCAGCCACAGGTGCCCCCAGGGAGGGGTGACCAGCCACAGGTGCCCCCGGGGAGGGGTGACCAGCCACAGGTGCCCCCGGGGAGGGGTGACCAGCCACAGGGTAGCGTGTTGTCAAGAACGACAGTAATATCGTCGTTGAGCCAAGAGTCAGTAAGGGAGAGGCGGGTGGTGTGGCAGAGGGAGGTGGCCACACCTCAGCCACCTCCTCCCTCAACAGCTTCACAGTTTATTGCCAGAGAACCTGGCCCCGGGGGGCAGGGCAGCGAGGGTCAGGGTGCCCCAGGCCCACCTCACCCCAGTGGCCCACAGAAAGATGCCCCGGGCAAGCAACTAGACAAGAGCTCACCGACACCATGGCGTAAGGCAAGTGGCGGCCAGGTGTCCGCTGGCCAGGTGTCCGCTGGCCAGGTGTCCGCTGGCCAGGTGTCCGCTGGCCAGGTGTCCGCTGGCCAGGTGTCCGCTGGCCAGATGTCCGCTGGCCAGGTGTCCGCTGGCCAGGTGTCCGCTAGCCAGATATCCACTGGCCAGGTGTCCGCTGGCCAGGTCTCCGCTAGCCAGATGTCCACTGGCCAGGTGTCCGCTGGCCAGGTGTCCGCTGGCCAGGTCTCCGCTAGCCAGATGTCCACTGGCCAGGTGTCCGCTGGTAAGACCGCCCCTGCACACTACCCACGGCAGGAGGGTGACGCCAGTGCTGTTCCTGCCGCTGCCACAGACAGCCACCAGCCTCAGCCACCACATCACCTCACTGGCCACAGAGCGCCCTGGAGGGCAGCACCACCTGCGGCAGAGCAGCACCCAGCTGGTACATCGGCTGCACCAACTGGCACGTCTGACACAACCAAAGAATTACCCAAATCGCAAACAGCGGCGGAAGAAGACATCAAGAGGGAGGCAGGTGACACCGTGGCTGACTGTGAGCCCAGCTGGCGCAGACATCAGCACAAGAGCCGTCCAGCGGCGTCGTCTGCTGCTGCTGCACCTCAGCAGACCACCGTCAAACCCGCCTCCGCTTCACTGCCTTCTCTGAAGAAGTCCACAATTGCAGACAGTCCCTCATCTCCTGCCCCGGATGTAACTAAGCTTGCCCAGTCTGTCCCCTCTCCTCTAACCAAACAATCATCACCTGTACTCACATCTGCCAACAAGCCTGGCTCGGCTGGCCCTACATCTGCAAAGAAACCTACTTCAGCTGGCCCTACATCTGCAAAGAAACCTAGCTCAGCTGGCCCTACATCTGCAAAGAAGTCTGCCTCAGCTGTACCTACTGAAAACAAGCCTTCCTCAGCTCTGCCTCCTGAAAACAAGTCTGCCTCAGATGTACCTGCTGAAAACAAGCCTGCCTCAGCTCTGCCTACTGAAAACAAGCCTTCCTCAGCTCTGCCTACTGAAAACAAGCCTGCCTCAGCCGTACCTGCTTCAAAAAAGGCTGCATCAACTCCACCAAGTGAGTGTGCCTCGCCTGCGCCTGTTGCCGCTTGTATCACTGCTGCCAGCGCCTCAGTACCAGCGGGTATGGTAAGAGGTCCTCCAGCAGCCCCGTCAGTGGTGAGTGTGGCAGTAAGTGAGGACAAGGCTGGTGTCGAGAGAGAGGTCAGGTGGGGCACTAGTCCACCACTGGCATCCCCTCTCACAACCACCCACTCACCCATACCGTTGGCACCTCCCCTCGCCGCCGTCTCCACCCACTCTCCCACGCCGCCACTTCCACCTAAATACACTGCCGCAGCTGTCATTAGCGCCCCAACAGTGCCACAAGTTGGCAAACCTGCAGGCACCCCGGTGCTGCCCACTCCCGCCCCCGTTACTACACAGCCTATGCGCACCCCACCATTTTCCATTTCGTCTACACAGCCACAACCATTAGCAGCGTCAGGGGGGTCACCTGTCCCCTCAGTGTCTGAGGCAAGGGCGGCTGAGGTTTGCTTAGCTGAGGACCCACACGCTATGCCAATTCCAACGCCACCGCCGGCACCAGATGCTAAACTTCTGAAAGGTGGCGGCCGGATACTAAGCTTGTCAGGTGGTGCTGTATCTCCAGAGAGTAGTCCAATCCCTGCGAGAAAGGACGTGTCAGGGGCGAGTTCTGCAGAGTTCCAGAAGGAGCCAGCAGCTGTAGTGATATCCCGAGACACAATGAGACCCCCGCAGCCTGAATTTCCGCCTCCGCCACCAGAGGAGCAGATTGAAATACTTTCAGGCTCCGGTGACTCTGCGATACTACCGCCTCCAGGCTTCAGCCATGAGGCAAACACGGGGGCACCCTCGGGCTTCACGACGCGTCTGCCGTGTGTGTCTGAGCAAGGAGAAGGTATTCAGTCACCAGAATATGTGCGAGAGTCTGTCACGAAGCGCATTAAGGCCTTTGAAAAACAGGCGTCAAAAGAAGAGGAGCCTCCTTTGGTCGAACGGCAATTGCCCATTGCCCGGCCTGTGGCCCCGTGGGTGAAGCGGACGTCATCGGGGCCCGTGCAGCAGGAACGGTTCTGGGACATAACTTCACCAGAGTCCGAGGACCCCGAAGTCACCTGGCCAGGACCACCAGCATCCAAGGAATTCGAAAGAACGAAATCACCATCGAGAGCCGCTTCGCCCAGAGAGGCTCAACAGGTACCGTGTCTCCGCCCGAACCCGTCCCGCTCGTTGTAAATGTTCCTCTGCTTTCTTCCTCTCCTCTCACTAACTATCAACCACTT